AAGCTTATATAATAGCTTTAGAAGGTCCTTGTTTATTTGAAGTCTCATACGTATTATGTACGAAAAATAAATTTTCTTATGGATTTCATTTAAAAGTTCGATTGTATGAGGACAAAAAATAATTGAAAGGATTATTCAATATAAATTTATATTAATATATATACATAATATGCTTATGTACGGTTATAATACATTAGATAAAACTTGAATTTAATTAATTATACGACCTCTCATAAGTTGAAGTTTAAAAAAATAATTATTGTAACATTTTATATAAAATCTCAAAAAAAAAAAAAATATTTGTTCACATGTATGAGATAAGCTAAGAACTTATTTTTAAAATAAATCAGTGATGCTCAATGAAAATTTTGACTCTGAAAAGTACACAAATTTTTTTTCCACACTATCTTTTAAAAAATTACCGAAATTTAATTTACGATCAAAGCAATAATAATTTTTAGAAAAACTAATATTTTTTCCATTTGGGAGCAAGTTTTATATTATTGAATCTTATTCAATATTTATGTATATTACAAATCTAATAATATTAAGATTTTAGAAAGTTTTATAACTCAACTTATACAGTTAGAAAAGTTGAACCATTTTTTCTTTACGATCATAAACAATGTCACTTTCTGTTATTTACATAAAAGGTAAAAATTTCTCTGTTACTTAACAGATATTTAACGATCATTTCGACTGAATAAAGAAGCTGAGTATAACAGTTTTGTTTGGACAATAAGCTTTTAAAAAAGCTAATGTTATATTTTTCAATTAATAATTCAAATTTTAATTGAAAATTGCCTTTTTAAAACCTTAATTTCTCGAAATACTAAATCTTAATTTAGTAGAATATTTTGATTTTAATATGAATATAATATTTGGTATAAAGAACAAATATATTGTAGTTCATGTTGAATTTTATTTGATAATTCATTATCAATGAATAATTGCTAAATAATCAAATGATTAAAAATATAATTGCAAAAAATTTGAATAATTTCGGAAATAATATGAGCATTAATTTATGTAAATGTTAAATACATTCTGCTCTAATAGAATTATTTAATTATTTATTTTATTATTTATTATGCAGTAAATTGAGAATTATACAGAAATATTATTTTATAAATTCAGTCACAATATTGAATTTACCTCAACAATATTTTCATATTTTATTTAAAAATATTTATTTTTTGTCAAATTACAATTAACAGTTCACTATCATCTTCAGTTACTCTTTGTGCATTTTGACGACACAAATTTTGAATTGTAATTGTTAATTCTATTTTTTTTAATCTTTCCTTTTTTTTTTAAATTGAGCCTGATTTGTATATTGCAATATTTTTTGAAATACAAAAATGAGGAATAGTTTTTAGGCATAGGGCTGCAAATTTTTTAATATGAATTTGCTATTCAAGTAGGAAATTGGTGAAACTTAAAGAGTGATTCAAGATGGTTTTTGTTTAATGAAATTTTATAGCTTCTTTGTAGATTATTTGGTAAAAATTTCAGGATTAATTTTTTAAAGCGAATGCGCCTCGTTTGGCTCTTTCATGTGATTTTGGAAGTTCTTATTAATTTCGAAAATTAACATACTCAAACACAAGTTTATAAGCTATGTTAACCTCTGAATTTTCGAGATTATTGAAATTTATCAAAACAAGATTTCATGTACGTTTTTTATTTGGTTAGATACATAAGTGAGATTGCCCGTAATAAATATAGAATTTCCATGAAGCTCTATTTTTTTCGTTCCGTTTTTATGAAATCTATTTTTAAATTTATAATTTTCGAAATAAATTTGTTTAAGGCTTTATTATTTTAATTAATAGAAGTGAAAAGGAAAATAATTTTTTTTTCATTTCGAGCATTAAAGTTTTGCGAATCAATGAAAATAAAGTGATTTATACTGATTTTTTATTTTAATTTTATAATTTTGTACTTAATTTTATTGTAAAAACATTGACAAGCGATGAATTGGAAAATGTTATATGGATTAATTAAAAATAAAAGTAATTATTATATAATTATACAAGCTGCCTTTTACACACTGTATCTTAATCATATTCATAATTGTTCATAATAAAAATTTTTTAAAAAATATTTATTATTTGCTTATTCAATAACATACTTGTGTTATAATAAAATAATTGTTCATTTACATATTATTTAGTTTTGTATAAGTACGACGTTATGTATTTATATTTTTGTTATTCTATAAGCCAACTTAATGTTATTACGGAAATTCTAATTCATAATTATTTCTGTTTATGTTTTTTAATTAACTTGTATTTTTTAAATAATATTGTCAATATTATTTAGGTCTAATACTTCATTGTAGTCGTTTAGTAATTAAACTGTTATTTCATCAACTTTCTATCAATCAAGTTGGAGCAGTTAATTATTTTAGTTCCTTCATAAGTGACCATACCTAAAATTATATTTGAATACTGATTAGAAGTATATTTTATTATTTGACGTGTAAGGGATATTGGATTAAGCCATATTGCAAATGATTGTGGCTTAAACAAAAATAGGTCTTGTATAAAAACTGCATCCAATTTGAAAACATCTAGACTTGTATTTTTTTTTCAGGTCATAAATGTGTTTAGTATGTCATACGTATGTAAATATGTATTAGACCACTAAACCATTTCATTTTTTTTCCATTTGTCTTATAATCTTCTGAGAACAAAAAATTGTGTTCGTAAGTCCCAGGTCAAATTGCTTAAAAATTTAAAGATGCGTGTACAACACTCGGATTTATTTGTAACACTTTCGCTTGTAGGTCATGTTAAAATAATAAACTATAGTTGTTGTGTTGAACTATAACTATTTTAATTATTTTAATTATTACTAACTATAATCAGCAATATACTCCATTTAAATTGTGTTGCTGAAAAGAGTTTCACTAATAAATGCTAAAAGTTGTGTTGCATGATGATAAAATTTCACTAATTAATACTTTTATGCATTACTCTCAGAAACATGTTACTATTTCTTTTTCCTATTAGTTTGTTACTGTCAATCAGTCCTGTAATCAAATGTGGATAAGTTAAGAGATCATAGATAATGCTAGATAACATATACAACTTGAAAAATTGCTATAAAAATACAGAAAACCTTTGCTTGATATTGAAATTTCATAGTCGGCGGAAGCTTATAAGGTCCATAAGCCACTTTTATATTATAAGTTTTATAGGTTTGATATGATACTCTTTCCTTTTAGCATATATGCTTTTTTCTATATCTCATTACGATACCGAAATAAAGAGTATCGAGTTTGGTCTATACCCCTCATTTTTTCATATTTTTGATTCTTATGTGCAGAAAATATGCTTTTTTTTTTGATGAAGGTTTTTTGATTCTGTATGAAAAAATTAGAAAAAATTTAAGTTTTTCTCGCGTGCTTCATTTAAAAAATAACGTATGTAATGTAATTAAGCATTGGCAGTAGATCAAAGACCTTTGAAAATTCCTTTTTGTATAATAACATAAGAAATCTTATATGAAAAAGCTTATATAGTGTCATACGACATTAGAGCTTTAAATTAATAGAATAGATGTGGCAAATTTTTGACTCCTTATCCTGATTGTATTGACATTATTAAAATTATTCAAAAGTTTAAGTTGTCAATATTCCAAAAAGTTTGTAAAAATTTGGTGTATATATCACTTATAGTTACGATTTTATTTTATATTTGAGTTCAAAATTTTTAAATATATATTAATAGCTTTGTTAATATTTAATAATAACTGATATGAAAAACTTCACATAATTCAATAACATTACCCATAACAGTATTGCCCATAACAACATTACCCATATTAATTTACTGAACATTTTTAAAATTCTATTGCAATGCTATTTTACTACTTTTGAGAAAGAGATTTTTATTGAATTTTACACATATCATAGAATATGGAGCAATTGCAAAAATTAAAGATATTACAAATTTTGAATATTTTAAATACTATAAGGGTCCTGAGGATCAAATTTAAAATTAATAACTAAAAATAATTAATTTATAAACATTAAAAGTAACTTTATTTATAAAAACCCTATCAGGTAGTTTTTTTTAATTTACTACAAAACTTTCTTTTTCAATATTCCCAGTTAGGTGGGCGTAACATATGAAGCCAATAAGAATTTCGTCGACGATTTTTTTCCATACTTTTTGCACATCGGTACCAAATTAATACCAAAAAATTCAAAACATTAAGATATGACCGATTATTAATAATAACCAGAAGTTCTCTATTCATATAATATGAAAAGAATGATGCACCTGGGAGTAATTTAAACACAAGAGTGAAAGTTAACCAAATAAATATTAAATATTAAGGATTTGACATACAAATATAAAGCGATCTATCAAGATGAATTTGAATAATTCTTCCTATTTTACTTAGAAGAAAATAATAACCATTGCAATAACTGTTTAAAATTTTATAACAATATGAATACTTTACGTTTACCATTTAGGGGAAATTTAGAAACTAGATTTAATTTTCATTGCAGCAATTATAAATTTCAGGAGTCATTTACTATTATTTAATATACTAATGTCTGAACACTATGATATTTGAGTTTATATTAATAAAATTAAAATAAAAAAACAATAGTGTCGTGAATTTATTTGATTAAAAAAAGAAAACCAAAAATTAAATTTAAAGTTCGATTATTATCCATGACTGTTTATGCAATGTAACATGTAAAATATGATGTTATACTTTACCTATACAAACAATTGTTTTTTTTTTTGTAACTTAATTAAATTTTATGTTTATATGTAAAATATGAATTGATTTTATTAATTTTTATTTTAAATTAAAAATTTTAATTGTTCATTTAAAACATTTTTTAAATGAATTATTTTTTTTTTTGTTTGAAGGATCATCTACTCAAGGATCGACAAGAGGAAATTTTGATATTTGTTGCTTCAGAAATAATTAAAAAAAAAAATAATAATCTATATAAGTATATGTAAACATACCTTGTTATTATATCAAAAATGTTGCAGACAAAATCTCTAATGACGTCACATTTAAAGTTTAATTTTTTGCAAATTATCAGAATTTTGGGTACGGGTTACCATAAAAATGACGTAAAAATTAAAATAGTTTTTGAAGTATACACAAAAAAAAAAGAACGGAAAACACATGTAAATTAAAATAAAATTCAATTTAAAATACCTGTGATGATAAATTATTTATGTGATTATTAAATTATAATTATTTAAATTATTTAAATTTTTAATAATTTTTTAAATTTTTGTAATTTATTATTTTCTTTTGTAATTCATTTTGAAGTTATCATCATAAATATCTCGATATTTTAATAATCGCTCGTTATATTTTATAAATGCAATATTTAAGAGAATTTGCAGAGCATTGTGATTACTGATGTGTGTAGTAGTAGCAATAGTAGCATTAAATTTTGTAGTAGTAGCAGTAGCAGCAAATTTACATAAAACGTTGCGGTTCAGGTTCTCATTATTATTATAAAATATGTTGAATTTAATTTTTCTATAAATCAATGTTGCCGTTTCAGTTGAATTGTAATCTTAAATTTGATTGCATTTGGTTCATTGTAGTAGTTATCATATTTTTTATTTATGTATTTTATTTGAATTTTTTTTGACGCTTCTGCAGATTTTACGCTGATTATATTTTTTTTTTGTATTTTTAATTTTTTTGTTAATTTCACTCATATGTATTCAACTTTTGCATTAAAATATGTATATTTATTGGCTTTATTTTTTTTCCTTTTTTTTCTATAGAAATCTTTGGTTTTTGTATTCAATAAAAAAAAGTATTTTAAGATTTTCAAAAAAAAATTAAAACTTTTAAAGTGTATAGTTGGGATGAGAAAAATTTATTAAATTCAGAAAATTTGGGTATTTCTATAAATAATAATATTGGAAAGGTTGTTGTATGATTTTTACATAAGAATTGACGAGGGCGTATTTAAGGCGTTCGTTCTTTAAATATGTAGGTGAATAAAAAAAAATATATAAAGGTTTTTGGTTGTGGTTGCTTTTTTTATTTAATTTTTTTTTTTAATATTTTTATTTATTTGAGATAAAGTCACAAATTTTAATTTTATAATTATTTTACTTTTTTTTAATAATTTTAACCAAATTTTATTTTGAATATTTCATATACAAATTTCATTTGCAAAATTTTGAAAATTTAATTATATAACACGGGTTGCAGTAAATAAAGTAAAGCAACTTTTTGAATATGAATTTTTCATATATTTTAATGTAAATTTTAATATTTTGGTCTTGTGGTATGGGGGGGATAATGAATATTTTTAATTAATTTTTTTTTTGAATTAAATTTTGTAGGGTGAATCATTTTTAATTTTTGTTTTAAAATTTTTAATTAATTTTCAAATTCAATTAATAATCTAAAATTTCTCTCAATATAAAAAATTTTATACCCAACACCCTTTTAATTTAATTCAATTAAATTAAAATTAAATGATTTTTCGATAGGGCATCAAATAACTACTAAATGAATGCGTTTTAATTTATGATGTAAAACTTTCCTAATCAACCGTCTTTTTATGTACATATTTTGTTAGAGAGACGGCAAGTCATGAGAGATATTGATTAAAAACATTAAGGGAAAGCAAAAATTTCTTACAAACGTCATTGAAAAAAAAATAAAGAATAATGGTTTTTTATTCATTTATTAATTTAAAAATAATTTATTTAAATAAATTATTTTTGAGAGACATAAAATAGTTAATTTATGTTTTTTATTTTATTTTTTTATGTTTTTTTCAACAACTAGAAATATTCTGCCCAATGCTTTTATTCATATGACTCAAATATAAAAATATTAAAAAATTTAGGAATTTAAAATGTGTGACAATTGTTTTACAGATTTAAAAACAATGAATGGTAATATAATTTGCATTGATGAAGGATATTTTTTTGTTGTTAAATTAAAGTCATGAGAATGAAATTTTTTAAAAACATCTACATTGCAAGAATCATATATGTGGTCACACAGTTAAATTTAGCTGATTTGCTTTCTGGTCCTTTGTTGTTCATTTTTATTTTAATTCTTATTTTAATATTTTAGTATTGTAGAACAAATTTTGGTATTGTAAAATAAATTTTTATTTTTTTTTCTAATTTGCAATTATTAAGTGAAAGGTAGAAAAGCTGGTTTAGTATTAATATTTACTATCATAAATAATTTTATAAGTTTTAAAAGTTTTTTGTCCTTATACATAATGTAAAATCGAATGTAAAATTATTATTAAAACAATTGATTAAATCTAATAATAATTTTACTTTCGAAATTTAATTAATTTAAGCTATTTTTGGGTCCCTTATTTTAATTTAAATTTTAGAAATATTGTTGAAAGTATTCAGAATTAATGATGATTATTGGAAAAGATTATTATTTCATGTGATAGTGAATGTGTACTGTAAATATTTTAAAAATTTTATCATAAACACAAGTCATTTATATGATTTGGTTTGGGTTTACAATAATAATAAATTAAAGTTTTACAATAAGTATTACTATCACTATCCCTTTTTGATTCAGTTTCAAAATAAGTCCTATTATGATTTAAGTAACATCATTTTCATAATTTTTATTAACACTACTTGAGAGAAGCGCATTTTGAAAATGAAACTAGTTTTAGTATAGTCAAAAAATTTAATTTAAATTTTCAAATGGTAAGAGTTGCATTACAAATTTGTAAATTTTTTCATATGTGGTTATAAACTACTGAAAAACTCATTATTTTACTTTTTCAAGGTGTTTATTTCCAGTTCTGAATTCTAAAGAATATCCCCTATTGTTTGATATCCAATTAACAAATTTAGTGTTTTAAGTTACTAAGTAATAAGAGAAAATTCTATAAAAAACTTTATTTTTCTTGATTTTTAATAAGGAATATTTAAACTATATATACATTTAGGATAAAAGTGTGAAAATCTTAAGTATTTATTTAAGGTAAGGTAATATTTTTTTTAAATTATGCATTTAATTATTCATTATTTTTATTTATGAACAAGTAAAATAAAGTGATTTAATTTTAAAGATCCTAAAATTTAATAAAAGTTTTTAATTAGTGTAGTTTCAAGTGAAATCTGTATTGATTTATAATAAGAATGGAACAAAGTAAATATTTGATTGGAAAAATTTTGTGTTTAAAAGCTATAGATACAAATATTATGAATTAAATTAAGTTAAACAATAGTCATTATTATATATACTCTGATTAAATTTTTTTTATTTATAATATGCAAATTACAATTAATTTGTTTGTTTAAAAATCAATTGATGCATCTAAGTTTGGTATTAAAATTTTATTTTTAAATTTGAAAGCATGAGATTATTTACTTGTTATTGTGTTATTTACAATGGTTTAACCTTTTTTCTTATAAATAATTTAAAAGTGGGGGAAACCTGAAATTCGAAGGAATTGCGATATTGGTAATACGGGTTATAGTTTATTGTCAATTTAAAATAATTTTATTTTCCATTTAAATGCAAAAAAAAAAAAATTGAAATTTTGTGCTTCGAAAACAGAAATCTTAGCCATTAGATTTATTTATTTATTTTAAAGTTTTAAACTCTAGTTTACTAAAGCTTCATCTTTATTTTATCATAAATATACGAATTTTGGGTGCATTTTAACTAATTTTAGAAAAGCTACTTATAAGCCTAAAATTTATTTGCGGTTGCTATAATTTTGTTAGCCTATATTAACAAAATATTATTTTTGATTTTTTCATAGTTATAGGTTAAACTCAAATTTAAATTTGACGTTTAAAAACATAGATACTTCAACATAGTATGGGACACAACGCACAAGAATTATATTTTTTTTTTCAAAGAATTAAATTTTCTTTCAATTCGGTTTCATTTATTGTAACATTATCTAAAATAACGTATTGTGAGTATAACTAATAAGCATCTACAATTTTGTAAAAAAAAAAAATAAACTCAAATATTAATAACTGCTTGTTGCAATTTAGACCATTTGGACGACTTTCTCCCATCTGGTTTGAAAAACACACTATATATTTACAATTTTAACGTGAAAAGCGTTTTAATAGGTATTAGGGTTTTAATATTTTTATTAATCAATATATTTGAAAAATATCGTTTTTAACAATTGAAAATATTTTTGTGCACATTTTTATATTTTTAAGTATTTTATTTAAATAATTTTTTATATTTAAAAAAAAAAAATTGGGATGATCACTAATCTAAGTGTAACAATATATGTAATTCTAAAAAGTGTCCTAAAAATCCGAAAGCTCTGGGAATTAATTAAAAAACAACGTTTCGACGCAGGAAATTAGGATTTTTATATACACAACGTTTTGAAAGTTTATTAGTTTTACACAAATTAAAAAAAAAAAATATAATGTATAAATACAATATATAGTAACACGTATGCACATCAGTATTATATATTTTCTATAGTAATTATAATAATTTTTACTAAAATAAAAATGTAAAATATTAAATTATAACATATACGTAAAACGTTAAATTAAAATAAGTAAAACATAACATGTTTCTTCTATAATATTTAAAATAAAAATAATTGTACAAAATGATCTTATAACACTTTAAAAAATCACCCCTTCCTTCTTTTTTTATTATTTCATATTGAGATTAGGTTAGAGAATTTGTTTTGTATCAAAAGAGTAATAGTTTGCCTATTTTTAAACATCAAGATGATCATATAATATTTTCGTTTGACAGAAAACAAGTATATAACGATGTTTCTTTCAGAATATTGGGTATAAGTCAGAAATTTATCAAAAATATTTAATGAGAGTTTAATATGAATAATATTTAATGAATCATCATAGAGTTAACTTAAAAAATGCACAGTTTGAATATTACTTTACTATCATGTTAAATGTTTGTAAAAAATAACTAAAGCTTTTACTATTTTTTTAAATAACGATTTGACAATTGAGTAAACATTTTATCGTTTGTTTTATTGTCTTTTAGAAAAAAATTATTTTTTAACAATTAA